TTTTATTAGCAGCAGCACACGAAGTTTTTGTGTACAGCGTATCTGTAGTAAAAGAGCCGCAGGAAATGGAAGAAAGTCATTGAACTTTGAAGTCGTCTTACCTTTTCAGGCCTTAACGCTTCATTGCTAACTTTCTGTTTGTTCCATCAATATCCAGCGCGAGATTGAGCAAGTTTGGGAATAAAAATGTAAATGGAAAGTAGCGGTGAACATAGTAACTACAACGCATTAATTTTTTGGTCATGGACGGTTGCTCGGAAGACAAGTGTGGGGTAATTGTAGATTTGACACTGGGATTCATACACCTGAGCGCCTTTGTACCATCCTACTACAATTACAAGCACTGTCGCACGGCTATTTAGTTTTAACCCACTCGTTTATGAAGCCAATTTTCCTTTCTAAGTCGTCTCCCCATTTGTAGACGCAAAAAAACGTGACGAACTCTCGCAAACGTTTTCAGAATTGCAGTGCTTCGGCAATTTATCTTGTGAGAGTGCCCGGTACTTTCTAAATTATGGAACCAGTTTAATATGTAACGTTATTTATTTTACTACGTGGCCATCCGTGAAGAGCGTCAAAAAAAGTTGCCTACGGAACTATCACGATTATGTAAATGGAGGCCGTTAGATAATACGTCAATTATTAAGTTAGTCACATGTTAATAATAACCCGCTCGTAAGGGAGACGAAAACAAACCTTGAAAGTAAGCCATTCAATTCAAATTTGGTTTCAATGGCGCCGCCGATTTTAGTAAAAGAGTACTACACTTGGGTATGTTTCCGGTTCAAGTAAAAGGAAGTCGAATTATACTTGCTGCATTTTGTGGCACTTCCTATTTTTTCAGACAAAAATTTCAAACACACATTCATGAAAGTTTAATGGAAGGTTCTGAAAAAGAACAAACTTTTTTATACATAAGTACCTACCCGTTTTTCAAGAATTGGGTGAAGAATACAAAAATGTAGGAACGAGGAAGGAAAATCCACCCCTGTTGAGAGAAGATCGTAAGCAATTTCCGCAGAAAATCAATGTTTGTATAGGTATTCTTGGGAAAGAGGAATGATATCAGAATCGATTGGACGAAGTGGTAGACCTCATGAAACCATTCCTCTTCGGAGAGACAAGTGGACGATAATGTGGACACGCTGCTGGACGAAGAAAATTTGTACTTTCAGCAAGATGGGGCTACACAACATTATGCACTGACTGTTAGGCAGTGGCTGTATTGACGGTATCCTGGTAAATGGACTGGCAGAGAGGGTGTCATGGTTACCTCGATCTACAAATTACAAGAGACACTCTTGCGTAAGGAATTTTAACGCAGACTGTACTATATGTACTAGTGGAGTTCATTTTGAGAATTTAATACAATAGCTTTTATACAGTCAACAGCGAAGTGTGTAAAATTCCTTTGTTTTGCATTTGTCCACTCATAACCAGACCATCCATACATAACTTGCGTCGAGCAGGGTCGAAGATGTTCAAAAGTTAGGTTCCAGTATAAATATTGTATGATGAACCAAAAATGAACACATGCATTCTTTCCTTCTCCTGATGAAAAAAGAAGATACTGAAAGTAACACAGTCCAAACAAATCCAGTAATAAAACTGTTACCAGTTGGTCAGTATGATGTGCCCTTCACTATATTCGGAAGGTTTAAGGTCCGTCTAAACAATTTATGAAAGATTCACACCATCGACCTTGTACTGCATTTCGTGTAGGCAAGTCGCAAAGTCCGGATTTTGCTATTTATTTTAATTGAGGGTACTGACTTCCCAGAAAACTCGTCTCGTAATATTCGGCGTCAATATAGGTATTTGACTAAAGACCACCCAGAAGTATTCAGTAAAAAAAACTATCCAGAACATGTTAACCTTTATCATCTCACCCCAGGATAATTCACTCACGGAAGTCTTCGGCCAAAGAAAGCTTCCTCAGAAGGAAAACTTCCCCAACACAACCTTCCCTGTATCCGAAAATTCGGTTTACGTGCAGTAAAACTCAATCCCAAAATGAAATGTTCAATTCTTTCAATTTCTGCGGCAAACTATATTGTAAATTAAGTGCGTTGCATTTCCATGGGAGCTAGGTTTGCATGGTTCAATTATCCTGGGGAGGGATATTGTAGGGAATATCTTTCGGAGGCGATCTTACCCTAAACACATTTAAACACGGTTTAATGTAGAGCTGTTTTATAATAATTATGTACCTTTGGAATTTTTATTAAATTTACATGGGAAATCGTACTTAACTTGAACCTTCCAAAGTCGACTCGATCCCCACTCATTTTTGATCGCCCGTTACTATTTCTCGAATAAAAGTAATGTACCCTGGAATTTACGTGTTGCCCATGGTAAATAGCGCCGCCAATAACATTAGACTCTGCATAAAGGGCACTTTAATTCTTTACAATTTCATGCCTTTTTTTCACCATTCTGTGTCAGACCTTTAGTTTTCTTTATAACGACCTTTGACGTTTTTCCCTGGTACTTATTTTCACGTCTTTTTGTTTCAGTATTCATTACCTTTTGATTTTTCCCAAGTCTACGCCGCCCGCATTTTGGAGATTTAATTGGATATCAATTAAACACGTCGATTGAATTTTTAATCCATTTACGCCGAACAATTTTCGGTATATTTTACTTACGTACTCTAAGTATCCCTTTATGTGTATTGTAACGTAAAATTAATTACGTGATTTATTTATTTACAATTAATTAACAATAAATTTATAACACTCTTAAAATGAAATAATTTATAATATTTCGTTATTATTTATCACTTACAATTTATAACATAACACGAGCGTACCATTATTTCGCGTTGGCATCACTGTTAGAAATAACAGAAACACAATTCGATTTGCTTATATAGCAAACTACAATCTTTCTAGAATGTTTTCGAGTGCTTCCGAACGTTGTCGAGTATTCTCGAACAAACACGTCATGTTTCCGTGAAAGAATGCGTTACATCAGCTGTCGTTTTTTTTTATCGCCGATGACTAATCTTCTATGGGGCCTCGATGTCTATCGGGATTTCTAGAATATTCATTACAGTACTGTTACCGAAAGGGGAAACAAGGCAGACTAAGAGGTCCTTGTCCTGGTTTTGATAAGCTAAAGAAAGAAAATAATTGACACGGTAGAACATAAACAAGAATTGTTGTTACAGGTGAGGGTAATTTAATAAATGATCTCAAAATATTTAGATAGAACAGTGTAATATGTAGGTCCGAGATGTCAACATTTTAATTTAACTCAATTTTTAGTAAAAAGGGATAGCTCGTAGTCTGGAAAATTATCAATATCAAAACAGTTTTCCAGTACATACACCACAGCGTCTGAATACTGGAAAAATATAAATCCGCTAAGTGTATTCAATGGAGCAGCTATAACACAGAAAGACAGAAACACTCCAAAGAACTATTCTGTGCCGAAAAGTACATAGCTTGAACTCTAGCGGCGAACTAAAGAACTAGTGTAAATGAACCCTATAAAGCCCAACTAACTAAATCTAAAATAAACGGGTTTCCAAAGGAAATGCATAGATGGGGTAAGGGGTTGTGAAGGAAAGGAACGATACAGGGTGTTCCAAATTTCAAAATAACCATGTTTTAATATGTAATTTGGACGTGGCCGCGACACCACTAAGTTTTTGATTAGATAAAAACGGGTACCCATGGATGGTAACCCTTAGGTCCAATTCCAATGTACTTGAATTTTTTGTTTTTCACCTATCTGGCTGGAGTAATATAATATTATATATATATTAGGGTGCGTAGAAAATAATTAATATCACCGTAATGATGGACATACGTGCTGATAATTGCCACAGAACTAAAAATTCTATTTTAAACAATTGAAAAGTACAGAAAGCGACCGAGCTTAGACGAAAAATCCTTCGACAGATGGCCCAGTGACAATTTAGGTATGCCAGAGAATCTCAATCAATTAATTCATTGACGGTAAAAAAATAGCTAATATTGGAATGGGAAAATAGACTCATCTCCATCACATATATCGGTGAGTTTCTTTTGTGCCACACACCTTAAAATTTAGTAAATGGATAAAGACCAGAAAGTCCAGAACATAGGAAATAGACAATTAAAAAATTCGTAGTAGAGTTGAATTCAATTGGAAATGCCAGGTTAAAAATTCTAACCCATCGGTTTTTAGGTTTAGGGAACTGTTTTTCGTGTAACATGAGTAATTGTTCCACTGAGAATAGAAGGACACATTAAACGGGCGTGATCCATATCTGTACTGTTGTTAATTCGTTTTAAATTGAGACGACACTAATGACATTGCGTCTATTCCAAAATTTAGATGAATTTAATCAAATGGACCTTAGACCCAACCTCACATAAAAAGAAGGCACAAATTCTGCTTGTAATGCCACGATGAAAGTTACCTTAAAAAATTCACAAATATTTCAAAGGATGCGGTTTACATCATAACTAAATTGTAAACAATGTAACATCTACTTCATCACATAGTTGCTTGTAATTACCATAATGACGTAACGATCGTAAACACATATATTTGTTTTCCTTTCCTCTTACCTTATTAATTTTATGATTATTGTTTAACTTTACGTTCTTTTCCGCCATTAAATCAGAAACCTCATATGATTTTGATTAATATTTATTGCTTTTGTATTGTGTACCCTGGTTTCCAGTGAAGGGTTTGAATACTCATATTTCAATGATTTGGAAATAAATTTCGTCGGTAGATGAATTTTGATTAATTAGAATGTACTGTTAAGTGGTACTACACCGTGTTTTTGCGAGAACCCAATTATTGGGGGCGAGTTCGGATAATTAATAAAATGATGTCAACCGAAAACATCAAAATCAATAAGTAGTACGCCGAAATGTCAAAAGTGGCGTGAAAAATGAAAAGCCTTTCAATATACCCCGAGGTTATTAGCACGAAAAGCCCTAAAAAAAATGTTGTTTGCGTTACAAAGTAAATATTAATATAAACCGTTTTGGTTGCAGGCACCGGCATTATGAGGAACAGGAAGAATGGGGTTGCGGTAATTGGATGGAGTATACATTCGTCGTGATTGTAGCGTGTATATTATTGCTAGGAAGCGTAGGATTAACAATATTCTGGGTTATGAGCTATCGCGGAGGATTCGGATGGAGAGATGCGAATAATCCTGAAAAACAATTCAATTTGCACCCGGTTTTAATGGTTGCGGGATTCATCACATTCAGCGGATTCTGTAAGTACATTCGCATGCTTTGAATTTGATCTTACGAAAAAGAAACTTGTCTAATTAGATTCATCATGAGAACTTTCACCGCGGTCTGATTTTCATTATTGTTGACAAGAGTTGTGTTTGGTTTCGCATTTTAGATGGTTTCCTAAAAAAACATAGTCGTTACAAGTGGGACGACACCCGATTTCTCTATTCACCATGTCATTTTATTCATCAAGAGTAGGCATTTAGGATTTTGTTATGCACAGTGCGTCTCATTTTTTTCGATTCGTATGTTTATGAAAGTCAATAATTTTATTGTTACCTTCTTGCTATTGTGTTCGTGTTGCTCATATGAGGCGCCCTTGATGAGCCTAATTACCTCAATTGAATGTCAGACTAATCATTAGATAATTAGCAGAGCTTTTTATATTTCCGTGACCAACTTTGGTGACACAGTTACCGTGTTACGGTCTTTTTCTGGGATTGATGCACTTGACATTGCCATTTTCGTATTGTAAATAATATGAAGTATCAAAAAATATGTCGTAATGCGGATCTTGCTTACAGAACTACATTTTCAACGGGCATATGGGAAACTTTCAAAAATAGCCCATAAAAAACATTTTCTTTAGGAATGTTTTTTTGATTCATATATAATTATAATATATACTTTTGGTTCACCACTCTATTTTTTGACATATTTTATAATCTAAATCTATGTATGAGTGACAATTTTCCAGGAAAAGGTCGAGGCCGAGGGAAAGGCGCACTTTTTCAAATCTTTCATAGACTTTATATTCTTGCATAAGCGTCTCTTTAGAATTTGTGCAAGAATGACGGTTGTCGATAAACCATGACAAATCATCACTACACAGCACAAATTAATGTAAAATACTATACGAGATACTATACTTAACACTATTTCGATTTATAGAGGTTGATCCATATTTAAAGGTCCACCCTGTAATAGCAGATACAGTACTTCAAAATAAGCATACATTGTTAGATAAACATACGTCCGATCTTGCTTCGTTTTCTTGTTCGGTTCTTGGGTTGTGAGAACCGGTAAGACGAAATTTTATGTTCTTCGGAAAAGAGATGAGAAATCGCTATTTTACGATAGAAATGAGAATTTACTGAAGAAAAAGTGAATTATTTAAAGACCCTCTCTAACCTCAGTCATTAGAGATTATATGTGACAATTTTTAATTTACTCACGGCTAGCTCAATAATAAAACTGTTTTTATGCCCCTTACCTTTCGGAAGTTTGGCACTTAATCTCTTAAAACCTTATTTCCCTCTGATTCTCAGCCGTAAACAGATAACTGTAATTTAAAAGTATCTTCCTGCGATCAACATCCCAATTACAGACTGCTCACAGATACCGGGATCTGCGACCGTCTAAAGTCTAAACAGATGCAGGTCATTGGGTGTAAGAGCTAAAGAAGAACGAGCTATCCTAAATTGCAAAAAAAGCAAAATGACGAAAATTCATTGTTTGGATTCGATTCTTATCAATGCATTTTTTTTTAATGCAAATTGTTCTCATAGGCCGATTCTTTTAGGAAAATTAGAACTACTTCAAACCAAATTATTATGATAACTCCTAAAAATAAATCGATCATTACTACATACAAATAAAAAAATTAAAATAACTTACACTGGATGAGATTCCTTTCAGGTTACACATTTATCCCATCTCTCCTTGGAAAATGCGACTCTCTTTAGAAATATGAAAACAGACCGCTTCAATGGTACAGTTGACTCTGTGATGAATGCAAAACCAAAAATATACGAGGGCCGTTTTTTTCAACCTCCGGTGGGCTATAAATAAAAGACAAATAAAGAGAAAAAAATTGTTTTATTACCAAAATGTACGTAAACTTATGCTTATTGCTCAACATAATCACCATGAAGATTGAGGCATTGGTATACATGTGGACAAGCTTTCCAATACCCTCTTCATAAAATGTTACCGCCAGTGAATTGAAATGAGTCTTTTTGTAGCCTAAATGTTCGGTAACAATAGAGTGCAGAGAAGATCTTGACACTTCTGGAAATTCCACAGACAAAAGACTTATTGCGTGAATCTACGGTTTTCTTTAATCACCTTGTCAACTCGTTCAATAAGGTCGTCTGTAACGACAGACTTGCGTCCTTGACCTCCTTCATCATGCACGTCAGTTCGGTCATCTTTAAACTTAGGGCATCATAATTCCCGTACAACACCATCACTCATAATGTTTTCTGCGTAAACGCGGCATATTCTCCGATGGATTTCTGCTGCACTATTTCCTTCTGCTTGCAAGAAACGAATAACACTTCTCAACTTGGCGGGAGAATCAATAGACGCGGCAATGTTTATGCGACTGCAGCTCAGCACAAGCTGGCTACTTGAACTCGGCAGTGACATATGTTGTGGTGGGGAAGATGCGCGATGGACTACTGCGCACACCGCGGGCCTGAGACTTGTCTAGCCGTCACCGCATGAGATCGGAGGTTGAAAAAAAACGGCCCTCGTACATATCTACGTATTACAAATTCCAGCAATCCGGCTTCAAATTCGAGGAAGTAACACTCGAGGTGGTGGTTATATGCAAAGGAATAAAATAGCGCTGAGTTGATATTAATTTTGCTCCATTTATTAACTAGTCTTTGTTGCGGGTAAATGCACCCATCAATTGTCTTTAAATTCCATGCCGTTGCATACCAGTTATTTGTGCAACCAGTTGGGAAAAGCACTATTTTTCCTAAAGCGCGGATTTCTGCGGAAACGAGCGAAGCGAGTTCCTTAAAAGAAAACTAGTTATGAATAGTAGTGTTTCCAAACGTGTTTCACACTATATTTTTTCTAACTTTGACATTTAAAGTGACGCCTTTTCATCACAAGTTGCGAAATATTTTACTTTTCACAACGGTTGTGAAAAGTATGGCATTTGACAGCGTCAACGAGTTTAAAAAAGTGTCACTTTAAATGTAAAAGTTAGAAAAAAAATTTATTTATCGCAGGTCGTTACTGTTAACGATACGAAAACAAGTATAAATTGTGCACAACTCTTGTGCAGATAAAGCGCATTTTTTTGTAACCGAAATAGCTTTTGTTTTGACATCACCAATGGATATATTTCTTGCAGACGTCTCAATCGCCTTTTGCGAGTACCCTCTGCCGACAATCCGTTCTTGAGGTATAAGGGAATATACCCGATCACGATAAGAGGTCCAGGAGGGGGGCTATAGTTGGTAGAAATTAATTCCTTTCGTTGAGACCTTTCATTAGGGTACCATGAAGGATAAAACGAGTTCCACTCCCCTTTACTTCTTAAAAAACGCGCTAAAAATTTCTTTGTTGATCATGGGAATTTCAGCGCATTTAAAATGGTACGCGATCTTTCGCAAAAATCAACTTCAACGGTAGGAAAATTCACGTACAAACATGGTACGTGATCGCTCGGCGAGAATCAGATTAGAATTAGCTCCAACTTCTCTCGCTGTTTAAATCTAGCCCGGTACAAATACTTAAACGAGCCTTCGTTTCTGAACTAAACGATCCCAACGAGAGTACCCTTTTAAACCAATAGTAATTCCGCATTTGCGCCGCGGGCTCGGCTATAAAACGAAACTTTTAGGTCCTAAGAGATCGTGGCAACCGCGCTCGCTTTCCATAAAGCATTTTTTAGTATCGCTGGTTACGCCAGACATACCTTTGTTCTGGTTCGCTATGAAGCGGTACAGTGTTAATTTTCCTATGCTGATGAATTGTCATTTATGTTAGTTTTTTTAATCGAAAACTTTACGTGAGTTTAAAATTGTACCTGGTCATGTGTTACCGGACAAGAATTAATTGGTTTTTCGACAAATAATGTCACGTGCGAGATAAGCGATGGAAGGGTTTTATCAGTTTTGGGGACTTCAAGAGAATTTCGAGTGTCGTCGAGTTAATAACGTAGCGACAAAGGTTCAAATGAACGAGTTATGAAGGCCTTCTGCAACGAATTTTTATACTATTTTCTTTGTTGTGCCCTTCAATTTTAATTGAAAAAAGCCTTTCCTATTTCATTTGTGAATGGGCTTGATCTAAGGCTTGGTTTAACTTTAAAGGGAAAATATAAGGCCAATCTTCAGACTAAGGATTGGATTGATTCTTATCTTTAGCCGTGCACTTAATGTTGCTTTAACATGTATCGTCTTCAGGAGAACGAATACCCCGCTTCAGAAGAAGCAACATATGTCAATTAAAAAACAAAAATTCAGCTTTTGCTGCGTGGGATGTGAAACTTTTATGGAAATTAATAATTAAAATGCTTATTTTTCATTTAGATACTAAAATACCTGGAATTGAAATAGTCACACTTATTTTTGTTAAAGTAAACAACCACAGCATTAGTGGTGGTGCAATATTGCTTAACGTACTTTTAACATTTGGAATTTCGTAAAACGAATCGAGGTGATCTGATACATTATACAAAATAATAAGATTGCATTGTGCAAAAGTAATTAAAAATATTACCATCATAAAATAAGTACAAAAATAATATTTTAAAGTGTATTTTCCTCATCCAAACGGAGAAACATCTCATAAACAATTTTAAAAAACCAATAACATTCACTTTTTCTTCATTAATGCATTGCGTTGTTTGTCCATCTAAATTGTTTACGTAAATAGTGATTGTGACATACTTCAATCAAGCCTTAGGATGTGAAGATCAATCATTAATTTAAAAAATATAAATTCCATCCATCTGCCTGTGCGGAGGTTTGAGATCTCAGCACTCTGACTTCGTAGCCTGCTGTTTTTTTTTGTGTTTAATAGGTCAGGTGTCAGATACTAACAAAATCTTAAAATTCTCAACATTATCAAAGGCCTTAGTGATTGATATAGATTCTCTAAACAGTTTAAAATCATTGTTTAATTATTCTTCAAGAGCTTTAAGAGACTCCCACGTAGAAGCGCGCTACAGAAATTCAGAAACTCTTAGATAATTTTTACGGACTTTTTACAGTCATATATAATTGATATATCTCAGAGATTCTGCCAAAATTATTCACAAAGGTTTGATTGATTTTAAGGAAATTGGTCAGATATTGTTCAGGGTTTGCCAAGATGTTCTTCTGAGATCCCTTTTCTTGAGAACTTTTTCCATTTACTTTGGAGATTTCTTAATTCCTCGAAGACTACGATATTTTACACGAGATGATCAATCTATAGTAGTCTAAAACACCGATAAAGTTGACATAAGCACATTGAGAAGGTTCTCTTTTTTGTATAAGGTGAACACAACAGACACTTGAATTAAAAAAATTACTGACATAAGCCTTAGCTAATATCTAACAACTGTTAAAGAAATGTATACAGGGTGCTAAGAAATTCATTGCAAATTTCCCGGTTTTGAGAATGCCCCAACCAAACGAAAATTCTTTTTTAATCCAGAATAATGGATTCTTCACCGGATAAGTAATGTAATATGGATGTTGCAATACAGGTTTTTAGCGCATTTTTCAGCGAAGAACTTTCTTATTTGTGGAGAAATTTCTCTGAAATTTTAACCATAGATGCCTCTAATAAAGAAAAATATAGCGCAAAATACAGCTTTCAAGAAGTCTGAATAAACGCGTTTCTATTGAAAGAATCAGTAAATTATACGGCAGTACATTCTAAGAGCGAACTTGTAAATTTTAATAACTGCGGGATAGCCACTTGATTAACATGAGGCGCACAAGCATTGCAAATGCAACCTTATTTTATAAATATTTGAATTGGAATGGGAGCTTTATGGAAATACAGGAGTTGATGTGTGGTTTAAACTATGAATATAATGAATAGGAATGAGACTTTGACATTTCTGGGAAATTACTTTTTCAAAAATGTGCACCTCTAGCGTTAGGTTTATTCGCGAAAAAATTGCAAAATTAATTGCGTGCTCCCTTTTTCAGCGATCTTGCTCTACAGAATATGCAGATGCTGTCGGCGAATATACGTCAAGCTTTTGCACACGGTTTTCCACGCCTTGGCCATACCCTGCGTCGCCATCGGATTTATAGCCGTACTGGAATACCACAAATACAGAAACATACCGAACTTCTACTCTCTTCATAGTTGGTTGGGATTCGTGACGATGGGCCTATTTGCCATTCAGGTGAGATTTGTCGGTAGTCTGTAAGGAAAGTCACGTAGTTTCGCCCTAATTTATACTTTTTTTAGTTATAACACTTATTTCCTAATAAACATTTGCGGTTTAGAATTATGTACACCCACTTTAAGTTAAATTGGAAGTAATTGCTAAACTACACAGTTAATTTAACTAACGCACTCTCACGCCTAGGAAATATTAATTCGAGCGATGCGAGTCAAATTTTTGAAAACGCTTATTTGCGTACACAAGTCTTCTCAAGTTCGTTTTTTACTTTAAAATATTTTTAGTAGCGTCTCTTTCTCTTATTATTGGCCACGGTAATTTACATCGTAAGTTGACGGTGAATGTGAATAATGCCACCCTTGATGTCTCAAAACTTAATTAAACGATGGAATGAATTTTATACATTTACGCTGCAGTAAAACAAGTAATTTCTTTCTTTTAGTTTGTAGTGGGATTCTTCAGTTTCCTAATCCTTCTATGTTGCCAAAGTGCCACGTCGGCATTTAGAGCAGCTCTCGTTCCGATACACGCATCATTCGGCCTAACAACCTTCATGCTGGCCATAGCTACATGCCTCACAGGTCTGACGGAGAAGGTCTTCACTATGCCCGGGTATGTACACAACCATTTACCTTACTTGCACAATATCACCGAGATATTTACATTTTGTTTTTCGTTTCATGTAGCGGATTTGGTGGTTCAAAATTGCCAAACGATATTATTGTAGTAAATGTACTAGGCATGTCACTAGTGGGTCTTGCAGTTGTTTTTAATTACTCACTTCGTAAAGAAGAATTACGCTATCGTGCACATCTTCCAGTCATTGAAGAACCAATGTAGAATGTAAATGCTTATGCGTTATGTTGTAATGTGTTTATTTTGCTTCAGTGTGTATCATTTTGACTCATTTAATGTGAGTCTTTAGAATCTTAATGTGATAAGTTAGTTGGCTTTAGTATTTTAAACGTTTTGTGACGTAAAAATAACACTGGCAGTGCAGTAATGCTATGTTGTTACAATATTTACATTAAGGGAATGAATATTAATACGTTACTTGTATTTTTGTACCTTGAAATCGTTTAGTTAGATAAATAAAACATTACTCACACGTAATTGTTGCAAATTTATATATGTTCCAGTTGCACTTGTATATAAATTTGCATCGTCACACTCTACTTATACCATTTTAACTTTTCACATCATTTGCCTATTGCCAGCAAGCATTTTCTTTCCCTTAATCGAGTAAAACTAACTTGCACCTACCACCTCATTATTTTATATTGCGCATGTCATTGCTGATTGCACTTACCGACCACTAGCTGCATTTGCATCAAAAGCACGATTTATGCACTTCATGTAGACTAATGCCTAAATTGCAGTGCAAGTTTCAGTAGGTATGTACTGAAACTTGCAAAAGCTCTAATGATTATTTTCATTCTTATTAATTATATGTTTAATTACTAACATTTGCAGATTTGAATACTCAAACCTGCCGCACGAAGCTATAGTAGTGAATACATTTGCAATGGTGTTGGTTGCCCTTGGTATATTGGTATCCTATGCAGTGCGCAGTCCCGTCTTGCGCGTTGACACCAAGGTGTATGTAACAGAACGGTTATAGGATTCGGCCAATACGCATAATGGCGTCGATCAAAACTCGAAGGACACTAACATAACCGACAATGCGCGATACTGAGTACCAAACTACAGCTAATAACTTTACTCGTAATTAGATTTTCTTTCCAAACGCGTATTTTGGTGCTTGGTATCTTGAATGTGTTTAAATATAATGTCAACCGAAATCGACTGCATTAGATTGTGATCTAATACCGATATTAATCTGCCAAAATAAGTGTCACACAATTTGTTTTTTTTAAACGTCTATAATAGGTATACGATTTTAGAAACATTTTCCATAACGTATCACACCTAACACTAAAAAGCTCAATCTAGATCTGTAAAGGAAAACAATCAAAATTTAATCATGTTAGTAATAAATGAATGTCTCTTGGTGTTTTTAGACGATGTAAATTATTGTGGGACTGTTTTCGTTTTTAGTACCTAGGTTAATATATGTAAGAACCACCTATGGAGGTAACGACGGTAAAGCGCAAAGCAGAGCTTTACTGGCATTTTGTAATATTTGGCAACTTTTTTACTGCCTGATTAAGTGTAGAACATAAATTCTATTTGATACCACCGACGTAATAATATGTTAGAAGTACGTAAAATGTTGCAACTGTGTAAAGCACTGAACAGTAGATACAGCATATTATACAAATTAGACAATTAGAAAATGGAAACTATAGCAATCGGTCTATAATATCAAATTTGTGTTGTTCACATAGTGTATAAGAGTATTATTAGGTTTAATTAATTTTATATAAAGCAATATTATAGAGGTATTGACCACCTCGTTGTTTACTATTGAAAGATTCTTATAGAATATTTTAGAATTCCATTATAACTTTTTATATATTTTATGAAGGACCAACTATTATTAATACTCTACAACTTTGTTACTTTCCTGCTACATATAATTGTTATAATTTATATCTTTTATCATTACATGATCGTAGAACAGATTTTAATAATGTGTAGCTTGTATCGTGTAATTATATCTAAATAAGATGTTATAGTATAAGATGATAAACGTAAAATTATTTAAAATTTTAATAAATGTACCTATGTAACTAGTTTTATATTATTTATCTATTTTCTATTCAAAGCAAATGAGATGAGAATGGTAGGGGCCTGTGAGACTAAATTTTACTAGCCAATGAAAAATTAGTATCAACAAAGATAATGATCTTTGGTATCACCATGAAACAATAACAAGCCTAAAGACCTAAATGTAATCGTTGTTCCGTCCAAAAACCATTTTTTATTCAAAACCTGGTACTTTTTTACCTTAAAATTTATAAAAAGTAACGAAGCTGATTAAGATTTCTCTGTAATCAGATACACACTCTCTCCACCATTATCAACACGAATCACGATTTATTTACCTCTAAGTACTGCAACCTTTTGAATTTGTTACCTTTTGTTTATCAGGAATCAAGTATAGATATCAATGGCTGATAAGATAAAAGCAAATTCATGGAAAAAAGACACTTTCAACACGTGTTGTACACGAAATGTTTTTGCATAGTGATCCATAATAACCCACATTTGAATAATTTGATTGACATTCGCGATTTACTGTCGCTCAAAAATGGATGCTATTGTTCATAGGCAGGACTAAACTCAATGGAAAGGCATAATAAAAATCGTGAAAAAAAGTACCACTTTCCATACGATGTTTCGTTAAAAGAAGTCCGATAATTTCATCACTATGTAAAAAAAATTATTAAAACAACTGAATTTTTCCGCGGATGAAATCCCGGGGTTGAAATGGGTGGAAAGTGGTGTTTTGCAAATTGTGGTAAAACTTAATTTTAGATGAAAATGTTCAATACAACAGTTATAGAGATTAAAAAAAGGTGCAACTTTTGTATCTGCACCATTTTCACATAATCTCCAATTTTCTTACACCTGAAAAACTATTTCTTTCGTTTTTTTTTTTTTAAGGCTCGACTGGTATGGTCATTTGCCTTTATTTGTAAACTAATCACCGTAACTATTTGCCTTTAGATTCTTTTTATTAGCCCCGTTATTTTTAAATGTTCCATTAGAGTTTCTATTGCACGCTTCTCATCACGAAAAATTTCTCGTTCCGTTTCTGGTATACCTACTTGCATTCTCTGTATGTTATACGTTGGGCATTCACAAAGAACATGTCTGACACTCAAATAGATATCACATTAGTTGCATTTCTGTTGTTGGCTCTTTCCTAATAAATGTAAATGTGTTAAGTTTGTGTGACAGATTCTTATTCTTGATAATGCAACTTGTTCTCTTCTACTTCCATAGCACTTATTTTCCCATGGGATAATAGTTGGCTTGATTTCCTTTAGGTTTATTCTTATTTTTGCGAAAAAAAAGTCGTAGGGGTTTGAAATTTGGAGGAAACAGCTTGTTTTATGATAAAAAAGAAGATAATTTTTGGGCCTGACAATTACGTATACCAGGTGTCCAATATAATTGAACAGCACAGGGAGATCGGATCGGATACCGTAAACGCTAGAAATCCGTATTGTATCGTAATTTTGCCAACATCATCTATCATCCTGTAGTAGGTATGTACTATAAACGTTTCAATGGGAAAATGTTTCTCTTGAGGCCAGGGCCGTAGCCAGATTAGTTTCTAAAAGCGAGTAAATAAATCTACAGAGCGGGCGGGCGAAATATTAATAATTTGCTGCGTGCCGCGCAGATACCACCCGCTAAAGAAATTCGTTTTTAGCGTAACCCACGAAAGTGGTGTGCTTATGTCTTCACATTTCCGTCCGCCTGTCTGCCGTTCCGTGCCATAGCTCAGTCCCTAGACCTCGTATCAACTTCAAATTTTCCTTAGGTATATGAAAGGTTATGGGTTTCGGGTGTACAACTATCACAAATTAACTTTTGTAATCATCACGTTGTTGCCCTAAATCGGTCCAAATCGATATTTATTCACCGAATTTGTTGAGAAAAAGATCAAACTCGATGACTGTAATTTTGGCGACCAAAATATTTTTACTCAAAGGATGTCAAAATCGTTATTTATGCATCAATTTTCTTGTGGAACTCGATTGCTCAATTCCCAAGTGGTCCAAAGTAATTTGGTGACAACATATTTTTGGTAAAATATAGTGATTTCTTATAGTAGTACAGCCAAATTAGACCAAAAAATGGGCATTCCGTGCATCAGATATGTCATCTCTAATTTTTCCTTTAAATTGTAACGGATCAATATGGATGTGAAAAATCCAAGTTTTCGAAATTGAAAGACCTGTGCACTTGAAAATATGTCATTTTTCTTACCATTTTTTGGTTTTTATAAGTTTTACTCCTGAAGAACCGATTTTAATGCAATAATTGTCGTATACTTTTTTGAACTAGACAAAATTTCTGACAATTTAAGCTCTTAACCGGATCTGTAAGTCTAATAGTTTTGGAGATACGACGCTTCAACTATTGGTAAATTTATTAGTTTTACAAGTTTGATCAAAATCTGCATTTTTTCTTCGCAGAAAGTAAACTTATAAAATATGCACGATGAATTGTCGTAAGTCGTGAGTCGTAATAAACTTGTTGAAGAAGTGCTAAAAATTGCGGATAATGAAAGCAAATTAAATATTGATTTTTGTTTTTTAGTGGAAAAATATCCATGTTTATATATGATGCGTTATTCATTCAAACCATAGTGTTGTGAGTAAGCTTTCCGCTACTGTTACAGATCTTCTATATTTGGTGTCCCTTTTGAATGGTCGAGCAAGGTCAGGCAAAAGGAAAAAATTCACAGATTTCGCAATCCATGCAACAGGTAGTGGATCTTGCTGAAGAATCATCATAGGAGATGCTGGGGATCCAGAGGATATCAACATTCTAGCTCTTTCTGTGCGGATTTATGGAGACTCCTCGCCACAAAGTCCCCCAAACGAACAAAATTAATGAAGTTTTTATGGCAAATTTGATTAAAACCAAAGAGTATATACTGAAGAATTTACGAATTTTTGAAACGCTGTATCTCCATATTAGACTTACAGATCTGGTTAAGGGCTTGAATTGTCACAAATTTTGTCTAGTTTAAAAAAGTGTACGGCAGTAATTGCTTTAAAATCTGTCCTTCAGAACTAAAACTAACCAAAACCTAAAAATAATAGTGGCGTATTTTCGAGTGCTGCGTTGCTCGCACAGGTCTTTGGATTTTTGACACTCATACTCAGCCTAACAATGAAAAAAAATAGAAATGGCACATCTGATGCAAGGTATTATGATAATTTGACTGGACTATAGGTATTTCCTGTCTACTTTTAAATGATAAAACGTCTTCTGAAGGACCCCTAACTTTATGCAACCTAAATATCTACGTACAACAAATGAAGATTAATTAAGTTGAATATTATCGCTTCGACTTCCGTATTTTAATTTTCGTTCGTGTGCGATGTATTCAACTAAAGAAGTTGATTTTGCCAATTGGTATAGTGCCGGGAACTATTAAAGGAGCTTAAGAGATTTATTTTCTGTGAAGCCAAACCAACAATATTCAAATTAATAATTAATATGACAGTCAGGTCTTTAGTTGTTTCAAGAAGTTATTTTGGTTGCATCAAATTAGGCGTCCTTCAGTAGACTTTTTATCATTTGAAAGTAGACATAGGAAATCCCTATGTCTATTTCTACTTGAATATCCACTGTGTAACTATCTTATGTTATCAAAAATCTCTAAACCTTCCCCATATAGTTATAGTAGTATACATATGGGGAAGGTTTAGAGATTTTTGATAACATAATATATTTCAACCCCCATTTCGAGGAACGATGGATCCAACAAAATGTGTAACTATCATTATACACGGAAATTCAAAAACTCGTCTCCCGCACAAATTCAACCTTACCGCTATAAAATGGCCAATATCGGCAAATTTAAAAATTTAAACTTGCTGTAGCAAATCACAACACCCCAATGATGTCAGAAAAAAGGAGGAGGAGAGGTATGCTGGGCCTTTATTACTCTCAAAAGATATTAAAAATGAGTTTCACAACTTATCCCATAGCCTTCCACATCAAACAGTAGGTGGGTACTGACTAACTATCTACTAGAACTATCAAAGTTCCCAACTGAAAGAAGGGATAACTTATTTATTCCATAGATAGAAATTTTAGCTTAATCGCAGTGAAATAAAATATATTGGTTTCAGTAGTGCTTACTTCTTAGTTTCCTCCTTTGAGGTTTTGTAGCTCAGCGGTAGAGCGTTGGGCTACAAAACCGTAGGTCGGGATGAGGTAGGAATTTTTCATCTGTGGCAGAGATGGGAATTTCCTTATAGCATTCTGCCGGCTACTCCGAATTAGGTTTTCCTGCAGTTTTCCTAAGTCGTAAGGTAAATACCGGAGTAGTATAGAACAACTTAAGACCTTCTGAAGGGGCACCTCTAAAAAGCATTATGCGGGTCACTCTGTGATTTAGTGTGGTATCCCTTAAAAGGTGGGAGGATTACGGACTGTAGAATAATCCGATAGAAATTCGAAATTCTGGTTTCTTGGTAGTTTAGGGGAATCTTGTAAATATGTGATAAAAATGGCATTAATTTCTGTACACTAAGCAATAACAATTAGCACGGTGTCGATGTGTTTAGGTAACAATAAAAGGGATTAATCTTTTATTCCTCTGATGTATTGCTCAGAATATGTGCCTTATAACGTAACCGTTCGGTTGTAAGAATGTACATAGAAACAATTCCTAGTGCAATTACAGCGCCAGCGCACGTAGACGCCAGACTAAGCTTATCATCCCTAGTTTTGGCATCTAGAGTAAAAATTTTTTGCGATATTCCCGTGATACAACTCGCAATGGCCAGTAAAAATATCATACGCCCCACTGCTGCATGAATAGGAATAAAGTCAGCTCTAGCAGTATCTGTCACATTCTCACAAGCCAAAAGACCGATGAACGACATCAAGCCCATGAGGTACTGAAAATTAACTTTTGCTTCGCTTCGCAAACAGTTCACTGCTTACCTGAGCACAGAATAGACCAACAGTTAATGCTCCAATTTGACTATGTAGAGAAACTAGGTGCTCGATGCTTTTGGAGGAGTGGTACTCCCATACTTCATATAAACCAAATCCTATTATACCCAAAGTTGCCGTATGCAGTGCTGCGTGCAATATTTTAATGTTCATTCGAAACATGCATCTGCAAATGCGATAGGATAAAATTGCTGCAAAAGAGAATTAAACTGAAACACATTTTCCGATTTCTGGTAGATTTTGCGGGACTCACACATTCCATTGATGGAAATTAAACCTAATGGCATCAGTGAGGAGTGGAGAATCACTTGAAATTCTTGGTCGTTCTTAAAATCAGAGTATTTGTGTGCATAATAGTACAGTCCGCCACAGCCTACCGGTAGTAGTAGGATCGCTAAAGCAAAAACAGCCACGAATTTCCAACAATTTATGCACCCCCAATTCCTTATGCTGTTGTCTTCCGGTCTAAAGAATGTATTTAAAAAAGTCTTTGACATTGATTTTACCTCACTCGAGTCTGACTATAACTAGTTTTGGCATATTCTCGCAATAACTTTTCAATTGTCACCTTGACAGCAACATGAAAATTAACCCACTTTTTGTACACTTTTTTAATTCTACAGGACAAAATCAATCAGATTTTAAAAAAATTGTCTTAGTATTTTGGGCAGTCGATTCACTCACCCGTTATTTAAGAGGATCTGGACGATTATTGTGCTGTCCTGTGAAGAAATTAGCGAGAAATTGATAAAAATTCAGTCGGGAAGTGCTAGTGCAAATGAGCCAATAGTTCCGGAACAACAACAAACTGATTGCCACACGACATGGGCTTTATACTGAAGATGATCATTGGTCAGCGTCTTCAGTGGATATGCTCCCACTCATAAAAGGAATTCTTTCTTAATAAAAATTACGGAGGAGTACATGGATTTAACCATTTTATGAGGGAGGACGGAGAAGTGCGATGGAATATTTCCATAAATTGGAATTTTGGTGTAATTCTGGCCTGGAGCCTCTAACGCATTTGTAGTTTTTGTAATAAATCCTTTTACCTTCGAAAAACGCTAGCACTACTGTTTTGTATTAGATTTAATTATACAAAATACGTTTTTTATTTGATTCAATATGAAAAATATTTATGACATATCATTCGATATATTTGTTATCTGATTACTTGATAATAATGAAATTTTAATACATTACAGATTCTTTTTTTTTTTTTAAATAAATAAACGTTTAATGAAAATAATAGAACAAGAACAATTTACATATAAGAACGGGGTTTTAAAACATAATAAATTTCATCAAAAGAATTACAAAAAAAAGGTAAAGTTCCTAAAACACATTCGGCATTGCCCTTTTGAATTTCTATACCTATCCGTTGGTAAATAAACTGGGTTGAGCGGAACTCTCCTGTTTTTTGCCTGAGTCTTTTACCAATTGCCGCTGTCATCAAAAAATTGAAATTGAATATTTTGAATTACTTCTTCTGTATATATTCTAACAAGTATCTAGGTGGTTGTCGATACCTCTCAGATCTCCGTAGTATAGGTTCTTCTGGTGCTGGTCTCCTAGATTTAATTATACAAAATACGTTTTTTTATTTGATTCAATATGAAAAATATTTATGACATATCATTCGATATATTTGTTATCTGATTACTTGATAATAATGAAATTTTAATACATTACAACTACCATTCAATGTGCACTAGGTCAAGCGTCAGGATATCTAATGGTTTCCTAACGGGAAGCGCTACCACGAAGTCAGGTGGCGACCAAGATGCGTTTAGACCAGAATTTTTTTAACCTCCGTTTACAGGCACGCCATCTTGAGGTGCGTTAACTCTAAAAAACAGGGCGCTAGTTCACATTAAATTAAAAAGACTAAACTAACCCTCCAAGATCCAATGGTATTATAGTGCCGTTGTTGACACATCAGCGCTCTGATAGGGATAGGGATGTATGTGTATTGTTTTTCTGTATGTCTACTTTTAAAATACAAAATCGCTTCTAAAGAGCGGTATTTTTATGCATCCAAAATAACTTTTTATAATAAATAAACATCTGGCTGTCATATTAATTAGTTTGAATATTGTTTGCTCTGGCTTAACAAAAAATATATAAATAAGAAAGTTGGCACTGTGCATGCGCAAAACCAAATTTTGAAACTGGTGTTAAATTTGCTTTTATTCCAAGTGGCTATGTATCAAATTTCATTTAAATACTTTCATAAATAAAAAAGTGTGCAATTCGGTTTATAAATGGTCGAGATGCGCAAAGGGCACTGTGAATGTGGATCGATTAGGCTCAATTTGTGGAATTGCGTTTTATATGGCTAAAGCTATACCCATATTGAATTTCATGCAATTCGCTTGGTAACTCACGGAGATGTCAAAAGGGCCCTCCTTATTTTTTCGGCAACATTGCTAATTCATGAACTCCGATCTACAAATTTGATAAAGAATCCATCTACTAAATTTTATCATAATCGGTCCATTCGTTATCGAGATACGTGCTAACGGACGGACAGACGGACAGACACCACAAAATTATAAACTCGCTAGGAGCTCTTTAATAAAGGCTATATACGGTTTTGAAACTTTCTAAAACTGTTTAAAGTCTTCTAATACTTATAACACTTCTTCAGATTTCTCAAATTGCACGAGAAGAGTTTCTGAAGCTCTTTGAAACTCCAGAAATCTTTCTGAACCGTTATAGCAATTAGCCATTCTTTTAAACTTCGACATACCCTCTATGAAAATGTGCGAGAATTTCAAACCATTTCGGGCAACCGCAGCGAGGAAACTTTGCGATCGTAATTTCATGGAAAAAAATCGAAGAATTTTAAAGCGTTAAAGAAGTATAGAAATGTTTTTAACCTTTTTTTAAATGTTTGAAATGTTCACATGCGCTGTTGGAAAACTTAAAAAGCGTTTAAAGGTTTTTAAAGTTTTACACTGTTTCAAAGCATTCAGAAGTTGCGTAGATTAAAGATTTTTGGAATGTTTCAAAAAGCCCAGATTTCAGGATAATGGTTTCATAATACTTTGTAGAATGGGCTCATCCCGCCTTCATTTTTTATTTCTGATCCACAAAGTACATTAAAAATAAAAAGACCCGTGTGTCCTCAATTTTTATTTGCGAGTAAAATAAACCCAAAATAAATTATTGAAAAGCTGTGTTTTTAGTCCGAATTTGAAACGCTTCAGACTAAATACGTCACAAACCTACAACCAATCACGTAGAAGTGAGCTGGCAACCTTACCCGAGGGTCTGACGTTTGTCACATTTGACGTTTTGAGAGGGATGTTTAACTGCATCTAGCACGAAAGTGACAAGTGCCTGTGACAGATGACGCAAGTTATAAATGCCATTCTCCTGCAATATTGCCAAGTCGTTATGTCATCTGAATGGTTCTAGGAGCTGATTGGTCGGGCTTATTACGTCACAGAGCCCGCCACAATCATATCGTTTTGAATAAACCTTTAAAACCGCACATGTTCATTATTTTTTTGCTAATCAGCCTCTATTTTTAAATAAACTTTTACTGTCCAAAAAAATGTTTTATGGTTTCAGGTACACGCTTATTAAATTAGAACTGCGGAATTCAACTGCACTGTAAACCCCCATTGTGAAGAATCATGCAGTTTGAAAAGTTGAAGGATCCTTCAAAGGTTTCAAAGTGAGGCGTTTTATATAGATCTTTAAAGACAGTTTAAGTAATTTAAGAGCGATTCGGGAAATACGAAATGGCATAGTTTCGGGAATTTTTGAAATGATGAAGAAGCTTTCAGTGTTTTAAGGAGTATCATGAGGTTTAAGAGTTTTTTCGGTATGAATTTTCGGAGAGTTGAAATACATTTCCAAGGAAGAGAGAGAAGCAATTAACATAAATTATATCAAACTGCCATTTTAACAATTACTCATTGAATTATTCAAAGGTTGCTTACGAGTTCTATTTTATTTGCTAATGAGGTTGGTTATTCAGCACCCGGTATGTTAAATTAGGAGGACACTGTATACGAATGTAATTGAGGGACATCTATAGAAAAAATGAATAAGCTTTATTGATATTACAGTTCTCTGTGCATTTTCCAGAAATATGACGTCATAATCACCATCTGATCTATTTTCTTTCAGTGTTGACAGGAAGAGTGTTATTTGTTGTGTTATTGTCCAAGATCCTGTAGAAGCACTTAAAAATGGGGAAAGGATTTAACAATTACATGTGCAAGAAATTTTTCCATCCTGCATCGAGGGATAATCTGAAAAGAGTAAGTCGTACTAGTCTTTGCTTCTTACATGTCACTAACATACAATTTTAGGTATGGATGGCAGAGCAAAAGTCGGACGCATACAAGAAAAAGCAGGAAGAATTACGACAACAGTACGAGAAGGAGCAAGACTTACACGACAATAAGGCGATGCTTAGCAAGGAGAGTAAGGATAAACTGAGCATAAACTTCATGTACGAACCTCCACCCGGTGCGAAGAAAGAACGCGACCGAGACGAAGTGGAACCCGAGTACAAATTCGAATGGCAACGCAAATACAACGCACCTCGTGAAAGCTACTGCAAAGGCGATCAAGAAATTAGAGATCAACCCTTTGGAATTCAAGTTCGTAATGTTCGATGTATCAAGTGTCACAAATGGGGCCATATTAATACTGGTAAGGTTTCCCTTATTTACCCGTTTTGATTATTAACCGTGCCCTTTACAGACAAAGAATGTCCAATGTACAGCCTGTCGATGAGCGCGGCACGTTCGTTAGAAGCTGCACCAATTATGGATCAGAAATCACTGGTGCAACAGATGTTAGATGACGGATTGGCATTGAAAAAACAGCATTTTAACATATCAGAGTCTGCAAGACAGAACTTAATTGTTGAGGATGATGATCAAAATGACGAGGTAACGTTCATTCAGTCCCTTACAAAGAAACAGAAGAAAGCACTGTTGAAGTAAGTACTTTAAGGATTCTCGTAGTTAATGTTGTTTTAACCTTATTCCTTATTGTATAGGAAGCTGGAGAAAATAGAGAAAAAAGCGAAAAAGGAGAAGAAGAGGAAGCTAAGGGGAAGTTCACAAAGCAGCAACGAATCAGATAATGATAAGAAGAAGAAACACCGCACACTTTTGAAGCACAGAGAGAAAGATCAAGGGAAACATTCCAAACATTCTTATAAACGATAAGTGGGTAGTCACTGTAAACTGTTACTGCGAGAATATATTTTGTAATAATGTATTTAAGGTCACATTTTTAGGACTGTGTATTTGGACTTAAGTTAAATATGTTCATGAAGTACCTACCTATTTAATTGTGGGATAATCATTTGCCTTTTCCTAATTTTTTGTAAATATATGTAAGTGGATGGTGTTGGATATTTATTTTAACTTTGTCTATTTTGAGATGGAAGTTTTCCTTATTACCACTCCTGAAAGAGGACCCTCTTGCCAGTACTTTTCCAGTGGCCTCTTCTCAGATTGATATCCACCAAGCGTTTGGGTTTCGAGCGCAATTAATTAATTGTGATCAAAGGCACTGAAAAGATACAAGAATTATTAAAATGTTCAGAAAAGGAGGTTTTCTTTTTTACCACCCCCAAAAGAAAACGTACCTATGTAAGTCTCTCACAGACATCATTCTCTGGTGGCAGATCTTCCTGTAATTGCTTTCCCATGTACATCTAACTGTTGAATCTGCAATTATAAGAAAAAAAAATGTAAGAGAAATGGCAATTTACTGTCATGCCCTTTGGTTTGTGCAATGCCCCACAACGTTTGAGACATTAATGAAACTGGTCCTGACTCCTGAGTAGGTTTGTCTTGTAAGAAATTGTAATTGGCAAACGTTCGAACATCACCTCAAGAACCTTGAAGACACATGAAGTCAAATACCTTGGTCGTTTGGTTTCGGAGAATGCGAGTGACAGTGGATCCCGACAAAATTCGTGCACTAGAAGAATGGCCTCAGCCAAAAGATATGCTCAAAATACGGAGTTCTCTGGGACTGCACCCGTGATTTGTTCGTGGATTTGCTTATATTGGAAAGCCGCTGACTATACCAACAGAAGCAACACAGATATTTGAAATGGGATGATGGATGTAAGCGGGCTTACTGCTTAGATACGGACGCTAGCAACGTTAGCATGGGTGCTGTAGTTTGCCAAACGCAGGATGGGCACAATAAGTATTCTCTAAACCGGAACGTAATTACCGCGTGTTCTACCCGAAGAGAACTGTTAGTTGTCATCTAGTCAATCAAACATTTCCATAAGTAGCTGTATGGCCAGTAGTTTCTCGTTAAAGATCAACCTTTCCGCATATTGGAATGGTTATTGCAATTTAAGAGTTCAGAAAGCCAGGCAACATCGTTACAGAACACCGCGCGGGAGGAAACCATCATAATGACGATGCCTTGTCATATAGGAAGACCATGTCCTGAGGATTATCGACACTACCTACTTACAACTGGAGCGCAAAGATAAAGAACAACACGCCCGACGCGTTACACTTTTGGATGATAACTCCGGGCACCACACGGACTCCGACAGCTCAAGAAAATGACCATAACTTGCGTCTGTTGATAAACTGCGCGCAGCTATAGTGATTCTGGGAGAACAGGAAATCTGGAAGTAGGTACCTACTATACTACGACAGATGTAGGTACGTTGATATATCGGGCGAGGATATCTAGAAGTGACGAAAACGCTGGTTAAGGTACGGGAACGATTCTATTGGATAAATTGCAAATAATCTGTGAAGCAATGGTGCGGAAAATGTACCTACAGTTTTGTGCCACAAGCAACGGACCAATGGGAAAGCCAGGAAGGCACCGATAATGTGGGTAGTCCATTTGAAAGAATAGGTACCTATCTATTGATAGGACAAGTTCAGCAAATAGACAGAAGCATTACACCGGTCAACAAAAAAATAATTTTTTCCTACTACCTCTTAAGAAAATATCATTTCTCGCCCCGTTTTGAGGGTCGAAAGCTGCACTTTTCCTCCCTAAGGGAGGAAAAACTTTTTTCCTCCCTCAACTCCATATATACGTAAGCTTATAAGTAAACAAAATACCCTTCAATTACAACTAACTTTATTTATATGTAGGTACTTGTTATTCTCAGTGCTAGTAGAAGAACCAAAGTTAAAGGTGCAATTAGTAACATTGTTGAAAGTAATGTTACCAGAAAAAGGCGAGGAAGATTGATTAACATTGAAACCTGTACCATTGAATAATATTCAGATTTATTATTCAATGCCTGTACTTTCAATGTTTGTAGAGTTCATTTGATGTTCTCCAGAAACTTTTGTGGAGGGCATTCCGCATATAATTTGGTTAGAAACTTTACTTTTTTTTACAATTGATTCTTCTAAATAGCCCTCGGCTACGTTGGTAGAGCGCCATCCTCCGTGTCTCTTTAAACTTAATAAATCTCCTCCAGCATCAACCAACAAAGATGCGGACGTGCGCCGAAAACTATGCCCAGTGTAACCTTCTGCATCTGGTAGCTCGAGGTACTTTGCAATTTTATATGGTATTTAGGCAATTGTATTTTTCCCTATGACTTGGATGGTGCATTTCCCTTTTACGTAATTAACAAAAAATCTTGTATGTTCAGTTTTAACAGAGCGTAATGAAACATATTTTCTATAAATTCCATGTACACTTGTTCCATTAATGGTTTCGTTAGTGATTACAAATGTTCTTTGCATTTTTGTTTTGCTATCGGGTATTTTCACAACTAATATGTCTCCATTATCCCGAATATCATGCAATGTCAATTTAATTAGCTCATCGCAACGGCAAGCTCCGGAAAGTCCAATAATTAAAGCAACCTACGAACAAAATATAGCGCTCATAATGTATCAAATTCAAATCATCTCATAATTACCTTCATTTGCAAGTAATAGTCATCGGCCGCCTCCGAAAGAAATCTGTTTAGGTCATTCCTACAGAAAATTTTAGCTTTCTTTGGTTTATACCCATTTCCTTGACGTTTAAGCAAAGCTATGACTTTTGCATACTTAATGTCAACGTTGTCGTTTATAAGTAATGTGGTACGTAACATTGAATATTTACTCCACATCGTCGATGGTTTAAGCGTTTTAGAATGATTACCTCTTCAGCAATTTTCTTGACTTTTCTCCCCATTATCCAATTTTTGAAAGCATTATATTCTTTTTCGTATCTGTCCCTAGATTTTGCAGGCAGTAGATCAAGCGATGCCTGATTAGCTTCTTCTAAAATGTCTGAGGGAATATTTTCCTCTAAATCACTTTCTATTTCCATATTTCCTGATGAAAAATTACAGAAACGACCAGTACACAAGCTACTGTTTATACCGCTACCATGGCAACATAACTTCACCATGGATACATCCTAAATTTTTTAGTGTAACTAGATGGCAAGCAGTTATCTTACCGTAAAAATTAATTATCTTTGCTAAATTAAAGTTGAGGTAGTAGAAAAAATCATATGTATAACTCTGGAGGAAAGTACATATCCCTCCCTTGTCTGATTACTGCCCTCCGCTTCGCGTCGGGCATTAAACTTCACACGCGGGAGGGCATCTTTAACTTTCCTCCCTTGTTATACAAATAGCTATTTTTTGCGCATGGGATTTACTTAATATACAGGGTGACAATTGAAAACTTACCATCCCTCATATCTTAGTAAATAAACGAGATATTTAAAAAAATCAAAATCCGTTTCGGTAATTCGGAGGGGGAATCACAATGACATAGTTGGTCACGCACCCCCTCACACCCCCTGCGCCCTAGCCACCCCAACTTTTAAATCTTAAATATGGACTCCCCATGTGTGATACGTCATTGGAAAGCTCTGAAAAAATGATTTCCAACCATACCAAATAGCATTACATTTAGGTTAGTAATTATCGTGCAAATCAAAAAATAAACATGGAAAATCGTATTTACTTGAACTTTCAAAGCCGACTCGACAGCAACTCATTTTTGATCGCCAGTTATAATCTATTCTCAAACTCTTGTCGAACCTTTTCAAATGTTGGTTTTGCAATATTTTGACATTCTTGAATTATTATCTGTCTTGGTTCGTCTATGTTCGCCGGTTGCGTTTTAAATACGACAGATTTCAAATGTATCATATTAGTTTATTTTTTTATTTGCACGATAATTACTAACCTAAATGTAATGCTATTTGGTATGGTTGGAAAGCATTTTTTCAGAGCTTTCCAACGACGTATCACACATGGGGGGTCACTATTTAAGATTTAAAAGTTGGGGTGGCTGGGGCGCAGGGGGTTGGAGGGGGTGCGTCGCCAACTATGTCATTGTTATTCCCCCTCCGAATTACCGAAACGGATTTTGATTTTTTTAAATATCTCGTTTATTTACTAAGATATGAGGGGTGGTAAGTTTTCAAATTGTCACCCTGTATATTCTGACTATAATAAGCAAAAATAAATAAAAAGTGCGATTAGACATCGAAAATATTTGCTTTTACAAAAGTTATAGCGATTTGATTGAAAGCATTCAGGGGCGAAAATTAAAGCTGGAGTCTTTGTTTTCCCTCAATGGAGTGTGATATTTTGATATTTTCCCGCGGTTACTTAGCGAAGAGGAAAAAAATCCTGGAACAGTTTTAAGGCAATAGTCCATGGTTTCCCGTTCAGTGGTTCCTGGGAAACTATAGAGCTGAAAGATATGACGAGCTGCCAGGATTTGGTTTTGCATCATCGGGTATAGAATGTCTCTAAAGATGCACAGGTTACATTCTCATTTAGATTCATTTAAGGATAATGTGGGAGCTTTTTGGTAATAACAAGGACAACACTTTCATCAGGACGTAATGGAATTTAGGCACGTTACCAAGGCCAGTAAGCTGGAAGCATGATGGAAGATCATATTTGAGGGGTTGATGAGAAAAACTTACTGTCATTGAGGCGACAGGGGAGGCTGTTTACAGTATTCCACAGAAGTGGCGATATCACTCCACCCTGGGGGCATCCTCTAACCACTGTGCACTTTAGTATTTAGTCGCCAACGCTGATGTGTACTGCTATGAGATACAGCAGTTGCGCAATCCAGCCTCGCACAACTTCGTTACGGCGTGTTTATAAGGTTGTTTTGTCAAACGCCCCTTCTAAAGCTTTAAGCTATATGTATACTCCCTGTGTGGAATGTGTATATCCTTATATAGCATTACGTTTTTCTTATAGGCCTCCTAATGGGCTATAGTTTTGCTCTTCTTTGCCTTATTGAACAGTTTGCTCAACTGCGTCTTCTGCTTTTCGAGCGCCCTGCACCACCAGGGATGGTTATAGAGCGTCTAGGCAGTCTTCAGAGGACGGGCATGCATGTTCAAATGGCGCCACAATGGAGTTGGTAAGA